AGATTTTGTTCTTACTTGGCAGAGTTCTTTCTGCGCATCTCCATGTTGGTGGTGGTGGCTGTGACTGTGGGTGTAGGGTCTCATTCATCCGTTACTGACTTTCCCTGTACTTTTCCGATTTTGTCATCATTATTTGTATTAGGAGTTGCAAAATAGTTGGATTGGTTTAGTTTGGTATGGGTGTTTTATTGTTGTTGTTTTGGTTTTTGGTTTTTTTGGTGGTGCTGGGGTTTAGACTGAGTTACTCCACCAACCCTTTTTTGTGTTGGGTATTTTTGAGATAAAGTCTTGCTACCATTAAGCCCCCCACCCCCAGGGCTAACTTTGAACCTCAGTCCTCCTTGCTCTCTGCCTCCCAAGTAGCTACAGTTACAGGCGTGAACCACCAGTGCCCAGCTTGTTTGATTTTTTTTTTTTTTTTGAGACAAGGTCTTGCCAGTCTTCCAGGCTAGCCTTGAATTCTCTCAATCCTTTTGCTTCAGTCTCCTGAGTGCTGGGATTATAGGAGTATACCATCATGCTCAGCTAAAATGACCACTTTTAATTCTGTTATTCTGTCTCCATTGATTAAATGGGACTTTTAAAAACTAGAACTTGCCCTTGTCAGTTATGTAGTTAATCTAAACTCTTCTAGATGAAGAAACTGAGGCTTTAAGAGAAGTCACTTGTGCAAACTCTCAGGTGGCTGTTTGGTGGGAATCCTGCCCAATGACTTCAAAGCTTAAGCTTGGTTATGCCTCTTTAAGACTGCCCCAAAGTCCCTGCCACTTGGAAGCCATGGCCAAGCCAGCCTGTAGGCACTCGCCTCTCAGCAACAGGCTTCCAGGGACGATACCTTGGATCCTCCTGTCCTGTAACACAGGCACAAAGGAGCTGTGAGTTCCTAAGGCCATGGCTGGACTTCTCATGCTGCAGGTGTCCAGAGATTTCAGGACATGCTCTTTAGAATGATGATTCTAGCATGTTCCCCCAGGGCCCTCTGTCATGTTCTTGGCAAAAATATAACATTTGGTCAGTTAAGAAAATAATTGCACCAGTAGCTCACACCTGTAATCCTAGCTACTCAGGAGGCAGAGATCATGAGGATCACAGTTCGAGGCCAGCCTGGGCAAGCAGTTCGAGAGACCCTATCATGAAAAAGCCATCACAAAAAATTGGGTTAGTGGAATAGCTCAAGGTGAAGGCCCTGAGTTCAAGCCCCAGTATTCCCAAAAAGAAAATACTAGAACCTGGCATCGTGGCACAGGCCTATAGTCCCAGTACTCAGGAGACCAAGGCAGGAGGATTGCTAGTACCAGACCAGCCTGGGCTACATAGCAAAATTCTGTCTCAAAAACAGAAAATAATAGGGACTCTCCAGAGCAGCTGGGATTCTGAACCTCATCCTATTCCTTTCCTCCCACCTCAGGGTGTATGGACTGCATTGAAAAAGGGGCACCATAGAGGTCCCATTTCCTCAGGGAAGCAAAGGGGCTGCACAGCTCCTGTTGCTATGGCTTCTCTGAGGCCCTGGGACTGGGCCAGGCCACCTTCCCAGTTGCAGGCAAGAGCTCTTTCTCAGGGAGGTGCCTGTCAAGAGTATGAAAGAGGGCTGGTGGAATAGCTCAAGTATTAAGAGCTCCTGCCTAGCAAGTGTGAGGCCCTGAGTTCAAAGCCCAGTGCTGCAAAAAAAAAAAAAAAAAAAAAAGTATGAAAGAGGCCAGGTACTGGTGACTGATGCCTGTAATCCTAGCCCCCTTGGAAGACAGATTGGGAGTGTCATGGTTCAAGGCTAGCCTGAGCAAATAGTTCAAGAGATCCTCCTCTCCAAAATAACCAGAGCAAAATGGACTGGAGGTGTGACTCAAGTGGTAGAACGCCTGCTTTGCAAGTGCAAAGCCCTGAGTTCAAATCCCTAGTCCCACCAAAATAAAAAAAAATAAAAAAAAAAAGAGTATGAAGGGTTTGGACTTCAGTATCTATCCCCTTTCCATCTCTAGCACACAATGTGAACAGTTTGGTACAGACTGGACCATGAGTTCGGCTGGCAGTGCCTAGCATGGTGCATACGGTCAGCAGCTTTCTGTGTACCACTGGATCCAGAGAGTAAGACCAGCTACCAGCCTTCAAGGAACCACCCACACCTGCCTCTCAAGGGAGCATGGACTATGTGTCTGTGAGTCGGGATTGCTTTAAGTATTGTGGGGGGAGTATTATGGAAATCCTTGAATTATTTGGTGCTACCCTGAGGGGCCTTAAAACCAAGTTCCGCATCTTTTCCTCATCTCCAAGATGTAGATAATATTACTTCAAAGTTGTTGTAAGAAAAAACCTGAGATAATATTTGGGAAAATGGTAAAGATTTTGCTGTATTTGTACTAAATCTGCCCTTCCCCCACTCCCCTTGTTTATTCATTCAATCTAGGATGATAGACGAAGATGATGGTTTACAGTGCTGCTCTTGTTAAAAAACCATTTCTGGCACTGGTTTTCAACTTGGCAACCATGCTTACAAGAACTATTATTAGACTTGTCATTGTGTCATTTTTTTCCAGAACTTGCCTCCAGTCTTTATATAGACACCCTCTCCATTTTTGAGTTTCTTAATATAGATATCTTCATTTTTGAAGTTTTAATCTATATCCATCTCTTGGTCGGTGTGTTAGGGATCATTTGTATACAGAAAAATAGAAATGTAAAGGCCTCTCTTTGGTTCCCAGTTCACAGTAGGAGCAGACTGGGGTAGATGGAGGCAGAGGATGCTGGAAAGAAGCTGGGGTCAAGGCAGGAAGTGTGTGTGGACAGTAGAAGAGGATGCCTCTTGATGGCAGGTCTAGCTGCACCTCAGGAAAGCCAGGGGAGCCTCCTGTCAGTGTCACTTCTTTCTGGCCTGGATATCAGCTTGCTATCTTGAAAGGGACCAAGAGAAATTGGCCATATAGGCCAAGATGGTTGTGTTTGGGGCTTGGCCATGTTTTAGGCAGGTAGCAGAGACTCTGGGGCTCAGTGAACTCATGCCAGGGCACACAGCTGGTGGTGGAGCTGGGAACCGAGCTCTAGTCAGGCTCCTTCCAGTGTGTCTCCAGAAGCCATCAGCTGTTCTTTGGTCATTGCCAGAGTTTGTGGTTCATGCAGTTAGTCTTCTAGGTCACCTGATGGCTGGATTGTGTTGACCAGCCTGTCAACAAGTGGCAGCACTGAAGAGGACATCGGGCAGGGTCCTGGGGCTCGGATGCCCTGGGGTAGAGGGAGGCCCTCTTGGCCTCCTCGTTTTGAGCTGCTTTCACACAATGCCATAAACTGGCCTGTTTCTGGAAACTGGGCAGTCCAAGATCAAGGTGCTGGCTGAGTCTTTGTCTGGTGAGGGCCCACACTAGTGCATAGGTGGTGGTCTTGTCACTGTGTCCTCACAGGGCAGAAAGGGTGAGGGGTCTTTCTTGGACCTCTTTTATAAGGACACTAATCTTGGGACCTAACCACTTCCCAAACCTCCACCTCCTAGTATTATCTCCTTGGCAATCAGATTTCCACAAATGGATTGGGGTCGGGGGAGACCATTGCACCCCCAAGAGCACATTCCAGATGGTGCTGATGGAACTTCTCTGCTGTTTGAAAGTAGTCCCAGCCTGTGGCCTGGCTTGACTCTGTTTGTAAACTTCTGAGGAGAAGCTGACAACAGCTCTTCCGGGTTACTTTTCAATGTGAAATGTTCGTTTGTTCCCAGGAGTACTAAAGTTACCATGAGGAAGCTCCGCCTGTGCCCCAACTCCCCTTGTAGAAAGGTGCTTCTTCCACAGAGATGCCTCCCTGCATCCTACACACCTCAGCTGCGCTTATCCACCACAATTCTCTTTAATTCTTTGTTATTCTTGGCTTTTCTGTCAGGTACCTCATGTTCCTTTTGAAATAAGGAGTGAAAACCAATAGATAATAAAGTTGGGCATTATAAATGGCCTGGGTACCGCACTTGGTTCTGGGGATTCAAAGACAGAAGTAGGGTCTTGCCTCAGAGCAGCCAGGAGGATAAACATGTGAGCAAAAGGCAGAGCCGTGTAAGCATAGAACAGTTGAGGCACATGAAATGGATAGAAGTAACTGTATCTGATTGGGGAAAAAGTATGGTACAGGCTTTTAAGAATGGGGGTTCATGAGCCAAGTTTAAAAATCAGCGGTTTGGGGCTAGGTTGTAGCTCAGTGGTAGAGCACTTGCCTAACATGCATGAAGCCCTGGGTTCAATCCCCAGTCCTACAAAAAACAACCCCCAAAAAAGAATAGTTTGAAGGTGTACAAATTAGGGAGGAGCCATAAAGTCTCCAAAATAGCACAGCTGGGTGGTAAGGAATGGGTGTCAGCTGTTAGGGAAACTGGGGAGAAGTATCAAAGGAAAAATGCAAGTCCTAGGAGGAGATGACAGTAATGGTAGCAATTTTACTAGTTTGGGGTATGCAAAGACAGACATATTGCCAGGAGAGGTGGTATATGCCTGTAATCCCAGTTCTTGGGAGGCTAAGACAAGAGGACTGAGAGTTGTAAGTCACCCTGAGCCACAAGCAAGACCCTGTCTTAGAGAGGGTAGGGTGCACGGGGGCAGTCTTGTGGGTCAGTGTGAAGGCATCAGCTTACTCTTGCAGAGCTGGGAGCTATTGAAGGGGAGAGGCCTGGTCTCACTAAGGTCTGAGAAGAGTCACAGGACTGCTGTGTGTGGCCTGGATGGCAGAGCATGAGCAGAGCAGGAGCGTGTCTGAGGCTGGAGGAACATGTGGAGTTGACTTGGTTAGTGGTAATGCAGAGACCTGGAAGGTTCTTTATAATGCTGCCACTCACACAGTACTACTTCTCTCTAGGCCAGCCTGTCACTCACTCCAATCAATTCTCTCAGGGAGCATCCTGCTTCTGGCACCATGACAGTGAGGGGGGCTGTGCTGGCCCCAGACCCAGCATCACCCACGACTGCAGCAGCTTCGCCCAGCGTCTCTGCAACCCCTGAGGGAAGCCCCACAGCCATGGAGCAGCCTGTGTTCCTGATGACCACAGCTGCCCAGGCCATCTCTGGCTTCTTCGTGTGGACAGCCCTGCTCATCACCTGCCACCAGGTACCTGGGCTTAAGAGGAGGTCTCTGAAGGATTCTGAGAGGTTTCTAGTACAGCAGAATGTGGCTTAGGCAGACCAAGTTAGGTGGCAAGAATGAATGAACTCTGCATTCTCAGGGGACTTGCCCAACAGAGTTGATTTCTTGTCATATTCCAGCTCAGCTGAGAACAGGGCAGGTTCCATTTTATAATTTCAGAAATCATGCAGCTTTGAGGCTTCATCCACTTGACAGCCAGAGGGGAAATGTGGGAAGGCACCTAGATCCTTGACCACCTGGATCCAGAAATGACCCTTGTCAATGGCAGGGTAATAGCCCAACACCCCTCTGGCTCCACCAGAGCCAGGCCAAAGGGGCCTTTGTGACTGCACTTGTTCTAAGTAAACTGAGGCTGAGATTCCCAGAAGCCCCAGCCTACTCTTCTCATCCTTGTCTGCTCCCCAATGTCTCTTCTTTTTTTTTTTTAATTGTTTATTCATTTATTCACATCAGTATACATTGTTCGGGCCATCTCTCTCCCCATACCCCCCACCCCCATGTTTCTTCTTAAGAAAGGCCATGCTCCTGGCGCCTGTCCATGTCCTCCTTGGCCATATACAGTTGGAGAGCCTTCTGCTTACCTGCCATTAGCCAGACCAAAGCCACAGAGCACGTGGATGGCTGGGGCCTCTTTGCAGAGGAGAAGCTTGAGAGCCCAAGAAGGAGGTGGGATTGGAGCTGGCCTGTCACATGGAAGTTGAAGTTGGTGACAGAGCTAAGAAAGAAGTCAAGTCCCCATTACTATACTTGTAGCCCCAACAGAGGCTTGTGTGGGCTGGGCAGGTTTGAGGCCTGAGTGGCCCACCAGGGAGGTTTGCAGACTGCTCCGTAAGGCAGGGTGAGTCTGTTCAGGCCTCTGGCACTCCTTCGCTAGCTGTCTTGCAGCTCTGTCCCCTTAGACCCTTTTGCATCCAAGGCAATTGCTCACTGCAGGTGGAGAATATTTTGTACTTTTCCTCCCCAGCCAGGGCTTGGCTGGGCCAAGTGATGCCATGAGAGCCAAGATGAGCCACGTGGGGGTTTCTGGGACTGCGGGTCAGAGCTGCAGTGATTCTTGGCAGTTGTGTGGACATTTTACTTTTGCTTTCTCAAAACATCTAATTCTCACATCCTGAGAGGCCACCTGCACGACATTCCTTCAGCAGATGGGGAAACTAGGCAAGTATGTGTGTTGCATCGACCATGCAGCCAGGATGTGCATCCATGTCCCCTTAGTGAGGTTTCTGTCTGTGCTTCCCGATCAGCTATCAGTGAAAGGACAGGGCATGGTAGCCTGCAGCCAGATGGCCTCAAGTAGCCAGTGCTGCTGTGGTGAGACCCCAGAGGCTGGGCTTTTGGGAAGGCCGTGGGGACAGGAGCACATCTCGTCAAGGACCTCAGGAGCTAGTACAGCTGTGGATTCCCTGGCCTCTTCCTCACTAATGCCGTGGTCATGGGTGTGATCTCACAGTCTCTTCTACCTGCAAGGCTAGCCTTTGGGCTTCTGCACACACATCCTACTAGCTTCGTGTGGCTCCTTTGGTTTGCCTCTCATGATGGAAGTTTTTATGAGTCATATTTTACAGAGGAGGACTCGGATGCTCAGAGTGGATCTTTGCATCAGGCTATAGGAGGAGTAAGGGGTGGAGCCAGATGTCAAGACACATCTGGTCCCCCTTGCCAGATGCCTTCTCCTGTGGAGCAGGAGGAGGGCGGCCTTGCACAGGATGGGAGGAGGGCTGTGGTGATGGGAGGGTCTCCAGCTGACCCCTCCCTCTGCCCCAGATCTATATGCACCTGCGCTGCTACAGCTGCCCCAACGAGCAGCGCTACATTGTGCGCATCCTCTTCATCGTGCCCATCTACGCCTTCGACTCCTGGCTCAGCCTGCTCTTCTTCACTAACGACCAGTACTATGTATACTTCGGCACAGTCCGCGACTGCTACGAGGGTGAGCACAGCGCGGGCTGAGGGGTGAAGGAAGTTCCGGGGAGGGCTTGGGAACTGGTGGGCTGCCAGGTAAGGGGCTCACTCTCCATGGTCACAAGCCCCTCTCCGTGAGCTCCTCTCTGAGGGGCCTCTGGACCTCTGAAGACTGGCCCTGACCCACCCTCACTTCCTTTCTTCCATTCCAGATTAACAGGTAATAGCACATGTAGACCAGGAGCTAGGACAGCTGTGGACTCTGTGAGATGCACTTGGCAGTGGGGGTTGCCAGGACACCTTCACAGATCCTGGAGGCAGGGATTCCACCTGTGTCTCATTTCTCAGTTCTAGCATCTACAATCAGGATGGGCAGCATATAAGTGGTCCATCTATGAATAGAAACCCCAGATTAACCCAGGTACCTATGGGAGGGATTTATTGAGTGATAAAGAAGTCGGTGAGGGCTGGTTCTGCATCCCCGTGTGTCTAAATTTAAGGGCTTTTTTCTCATGAGATGCTTTGTTGTACTTTGGAAAAAGGGACTTATATCCTCTTATGGGTCTCGTTTCTTTGTGTAGAGAAGAACCGTCACCCTGGGCTCTGGATTGTAGGAAGGAAAAGCTGGTCCTACCCTTCTGCCCCCTGGGGTCTGTGGCCACTGACTAATCACCTCAGCGGGACAAGGAAGTTGCTTCCTTGGGGAGAGAGGAACCTGCCTGGCCAGGAGGTTGGGGGGAACATGGGTGGGGCTGTCCTCAGCTAGAGGAAAGCTCAGTGGCTGGAGAGGAAGGGGTTGTACAGGGAGGCCAGAACAGAGCCATTTATTGATTTGTAGGCTGCATAGAGAAGGTTAGATTTTCTTTTTCACTATTGGTGCATAAAAGTATATTGAAAATTTCAGAGTAGAAAAAGTTCCAAGTGGAGGGTGGGTAAGGAAGGAAAGGCCAGAGGCTTCAAGTCAGGTCACAGGCCAGCGATGCCCAGGGGATGCTCCAGCAGGGATGGAGAAAAGGAGTCCCTGAATTTAAGAACTCTGCTAATGCCCACCGCCCCCACCCACTGGTAAGGGCCGTGCAGTTTCCCTGTCTCCCTTACCTGGCTTCTTCATGCATAGGCTGGGCAGCTCGGCCACACCCAGCAGTGTCTGCTTCGCTGACCCTGGAAAGCTTTGCCCTGGCCCTGGGCTCTGTTGAGGTCAGGTACAGCATGCTCAACCCCAGCAGATGGAGCCTCTTCCTGTCCTTCCTGAACTTTGTGCATCCTGAGGACTCACAGGGCACAGGAAATGCCTTTGGATTTGGCAAGGAAGTTGAGGCGCCTAGTAGGAGCCCACTATACCCCTCCCTGCCACATCCTAACTCCATCTTTCTTGTCGCTCCATTGCCTTCTGCTGCAGTCACATCACCATCCTTCTGGCTGCAGCACAGCAGGTGTTTCCTGGCCTTGGGAGCTTAGTATGCGCTGCTGCCCCAGTGCCTAGAAAGCTCTTCCCCAGCCCAGGGTGGGTCAGGTCCTTTCATCCTTGTCTGTTCCCCAGCATCTCCTCCTGGGAGAGGCCGGCATCCTGTCTGCATGCCCCTCAGCCACACGTAGTGGCAAGGCTTTGTTTACTTTCTGCCCCTTTGGTAGACTCAGCTCTGTGAAAGCTGGCTTGTTTGTGGCCCAACTGGACAGAGCCAGACACATGGCAGGTGTTGTTCTGTTTTTTATCTTCTTTTGGTGCTGGAAAAGGAACTCCAGGGCCTCACGAATGCTAAGCACACGCTCTTCCACTGAGTGACACCTCCACTCAACTCCATAACTTTTAACAAAGAAGGGACGTTAGTAGCTTCTGCTGTGTGTCCTACTTTCTTCCTGGTAGAGTCTCGTTGACTCTCAAGCACCCTTCTCCTGGCTGGTGCTCCTGTCCTGCATTTCCAGCAGAGAATATAAAGTCAGGTGGGGACCTGCTTAGGGCTTGACTGGGGCTGTAGCCTGAAGTTCCTGAAAATAGCAAATCCCTAGGGATCCCTCTGGGCTGGAGAGAGGTGGGGCTCAGTATCCTTTTTTCTCAGCTTCAAGTGGAGCAGCCTCCGCCCACTTGTTTCCCTCAGAAGTAAAATGCTATTCTCTGCCATGGAGGGCCACTCCTGTGTGGTTGAGGAGCAAGCCTAGGCTCTCTTCTTGGCTAGATTGAGGATAGCTTAGCAGAAGGTGGGGGGCATAGCCAGCGGAGCCTCCACTCGGCCCTCACTTGATACCCCAGAGATGGCAACAGATGGTCAGCAGGCTCCCCCATCCCAGAAACCTCTTTGTTCTGCCAGTCTGTCTCAGCTAGCCTCCCTGTCCACAGTAAAGGTCCTTGCAGGAAGTCTGATGCCCTGTGAAGCCCATCTCCTAGCAACACTATTGTCCCAGCCTGGCCTCTCCCAGGGAGTTTACAAACAGTGAGCAGCTGCCCTGAAGTTCAGGCTGTCCTGATTCACCAGCTTTTAGTGTCTGAGTCAGCAGGCCGGCCTTCCCCTTCTCCTTCTGCATCTCCGGTCAGATCTTGGCACTCCATCCTTCTATCTGTGCTGCTACTCCTTAAAACTCAGAAAGTTCCCCCCCACCCAACAATTTCCCATCCCCTTCCCATCTTCCTTTTCTGTGCCCCAGGACTCAAAGAGGAGTCAGGAAAGGAGCCCCAGGACCCTTATTTGAGATCCAACCAGCCAGCCTGTATGAGGATCACTCAGGAGCAGGGTATTGTACAGACATTTGCCCACCCCCCCCCTTTTTAAAAAACAAAATTCTACTTTAAAAAGAGAGCACTAAAATTTTAGACTTAAAGTAGTAACATGCATCTGGTTGAAACACAAAATTGCGCCAACTCTTTACTCCCAAGTTCGCAGCACTTTCAGCTGTTCCTTTCTGGAATAACCTGTAAATATGCTTATATTGTTATTTCTTGATTTTTCAATTGTATGTGGTGTTACATGCTAATTTCCTATTATACAGGGTTTTGATTTAGGTATCTTATCCATGGCCTATACATATACACACAGACCCACGCACACACATTTTCTTTCCCTCACCTTTCCAGTGGGACTTTCATAACAACACTCAGTGTTTGCGTTATTAGGCTCAAGCAGTAGAGTGCCTGCCCAGCAAGCATGAGGCCCTGAGTTCAAACCTCTACCACCAAAAAAATCAATAGATAGTTTTTTGGGGGCAGGGGGGAGAAATGAACCAAGCCTTGTATGCACATATGAATAATAAAAGAAAAATGAAAAAAAAAATAGATGTCTAAATATTCAAAGCTGAGCCTATTGTGCCCCAAGACTCTGTTTTCTTTTCTTGTAAAACTTGTTTTTGCTATGGCTACTACTTATCTTGCTTTTTGGTTTGCCCAGTTTTCTGTATGTCTGTTATTCATTTATTTCTGAATGCTCCAATTGAATTTTAAAAAACCAGCCCTGCTCTATCTGTCAGAGCTGGCTTTGTGCCTTGGCTGTTTCTCCTGGAGCCCTTCCGCTCCAGTCTCGACCACTTGCTTTCGAGGCCTGCACTGCTCAGCTGTCACCCTGGCTGGCTCTGTCACTTATCTCCGTCTGGGACTCTTACCTGCTTTTCCTGTGCTCTCTAGATGCCGCTTCTTCCTTGTTTGTGGTTTGCTCTCTCTGTTGAGTGGAGCATATGTGGCCCAAGTTTCTCTCCTGAATAGTTAGCAAGACCTTATCTCAAAAAAAACCCTTCACACAAAAAAAGGGCTGGTGGAGTGGCTCAAGGTGTAGACCCTGAGTTCAAACCCCAGTTCTGCAAAAAAAAAAAAAAAAAAATTTTTTTTCCTGGCTTTTGGGATCTTGTTTGTTTTCAGTACTAGGGCCTCACACTTGCTGGGGAGGTGCTGTATCACTTGAGCCATGCTCCGAGCCCTAGGATCTTGCTTTCATCCCCGATATTCTGAAATCTTACAGGAGGTAGAATAATAGTCATTGTGCTGGACAACCTGATTGGGAACTCCTGTACTAAGTATCTGGTGATTATTCATGTGTGTGTCTGTGAAAATTTCTTCCCTCTACTTTTGTCTCTTCTTTCCTGGAATTCATGTTGGCAAGACATTGCACTTCTGAACTGTGTCTCAGATTTATTTACAATTTTCCAGCATGTTTTTGTTCTGCTTTCCAGGAGCTTTTTGTTTGTTACATTGTTAACTTTGAGGTTGTCTGCTGAATTTTTTATTTCCTTTATTGTGTTGCAAAATATTAGTAACTCTTCCCTGTTCTTTTTTAGAACCACTGTTCTTAGTATAGGTTAGCATGTTCCTTTTCTGCCAGGTATGGGATGACTCATGCCTATAATCTTAGCTACTTGGGAGGCTGAGATCAGGAGGATTATGGTTTGAGGCCAGTCTGGAAAATAGTTTAAGAAACCCCATCTCAAAATAATCAGAGCAAAACGGACTAGAAGTATGTCAAGTGGTAGAGCACCTGCTTTTTGAGCATGAAGCCCAGAGTTCAAACCCCAGTCCCTCAAAAAAAAAAAAAAAGAGTATTCCTCTTCTGTCTTTAGAGATGCTAATTGCCATTTTCTTGTTTCCTGTGCTATCTCTATCTTTTAAGCTCCTTTCATCTCTTTGATTTGGCTTTTGGTCTTTATGTTAGAAGCTCTTCTCAAACATCTGTTGTCCTTGCTACTTTTTGATATTAGACTATGGGGCTTATAATTGCTGGTCCTCCTGATTGGGTGATAAGCCTCAGAGTGTTTCCTCTTCTGTTTTCATGTGATAGCGGGGCAGGTACGACACCTTTTGATTCTGGGTCTGTTTCCCCAGAAAATACTATTCTCATCTGCTTGGAAGGAAAAACTGAACAGACTGATTTATGAGTGCAGAGAGGCCTATGAGGATACCTCAGCCTTTGTATGTAGATTTAGTTTAGTATATTCATGACTGCCATCAGCTGGGTCACATTCCGTCTCAGCCCCTCTAGAAAGTAACAGCCCATATGGAGACTTTTAGCCACTTTTCCCACTTGTTCCATTACCCACAGCTCAGAGCTGCCT